GATACCAACAGCTTGATATGCAACATTTTCTAAAATGTTATTTAGCTCGGAATAAAAACAATTCACAAAAATTGATTTAGTGTTTTTTTTTTTAAGATTGGATTAGCCTATTTTACAGTGTGTAAACATTAGAAATAATAATTAGGCTAAAATACAGTAGATTACCCCTTTATTCAGATATATGTCGTTGTTTGGGAAACTCTCCCCTGGTCTAGAAGCTTCTCTAGCTTCTTATCTGCTCCACAAGCGCAGCGCGCTTCTTCCTCTGGCTCTGCACCAGGGCTGGGTTTCCCAAACAACAACATAACTCGCGGCAGAAATATTATAGTACAATGTGTCGTTTGGGAAAAGAACGATGTAGTGACGAGTGTGTCCCAAAACTTCTCTGTCACAGATCTATTGTTTGAACCACATTAGTTATAACGTAAAATGCCCATAATGATGCTCTAAACGAGGTGGTAACAACATTAATGGTTGTCGGCCTAATTTACAGCAGGCTATTTATTTAGAAATAGAAAAACTTTTAAATATAATATTAATTATTATTATTATTATTAAAGTAGGATATTGCAAACAATATGCAAAATAAATGCAAACAATATTCCATGACTCCAATATCAATTGCTACGAGCCTAATATAGAAATTTTAATTAACACCTAGTTCAGTCGATAAGTTGCTGTGAATAGAAACAGCCTATATGAGCCTACATTTCCATAAGTTGGCCTATAGGTAAAAGGTATATAACCGGGGATTTTGTGTCAACCTTGCTTGTGAAATATACTCAACATATACCCCTGCCCTCATCTCAAACAAAATGTTTGGCTAATAATATGTCTGAGGTGTTAATGGGGCATTGCGCTTTAACCGAAAACAACAACAACAACCCAAAAGCACTAAATTGGTTACAGGGGTTGCTTCAGAAAATTGCCTAATAATAATAGTAGTAGTAGTAGTAGTAGTAGTAGTAGTAATAATAATAATAATAATAATAATAATAATAACTACTGGCTTGTTTATAACTAAAGTTGTTTTTACTTCGGTTGCACCACATGCTCTTAAGGCAAACCGTAGTTAGTAAGGTCATAAGCTCTCAGTAAAGTCATACGTAGTTGCATTAAATCACCTAATATCAAATAAAAAGTGTTTCAATCGGTAAACTGCTTTAGAATTCTGCAACTAATGCATCTACATATAACTGTTCTTTGAAAATTTGCTGTGAATGCACACAAATTACACAAAGTTATCAAAACATAAAACTTGATTTTTTTAAATATTCTACACGTTAAAGAAAAAATAGCAGGGAGAAAAAACCCAGTCATAAAGAAATGTATGTTAACACAAAACACTCCTTGAAACAAAATAAAACTCTTCATTTACAAACCGAAAGAAATGCGAGATTTGGGAAGAAAATAAGGCTGTGAATAGAGGGAGATCATCGCAAGCTCCTCGATGTAGACTAATCTCACTGTCATCTCTTTTCTACCATTATACATGGGGGGAGGCTGCGGTAAATTTTTAGTTGGAACACAGAGTTAGGTTTAAACTAAGTGAAATGGTGCAACACAAAAATATTTAGTAGTGCGTACATTGTAAATTAGTGTCCCTTTAAGTCACAACTAGGCTTCATTTTAACTTACACACTGCTGGTGCAACTGGCCCCATGTAATCAAAAAAACGCTGCATATTAATAAGTGGGTCGCGGGTTATAATCTAAAAGCTATTGCCAGTCAAGCACAGCACAGCCATTACAGCAAAATGGAGAGATTTAAATGGACATATTGCACATATGGAATTATCCACTCACTGCATGTCGTCTACCCTGATAAACATGCTTATTGTCTTATTATTATTAATATTATATTGTATGCACTTATGAAATTAAAGTTTATAAAGCCTGGTTTATACTTCTGCGTTATGACCGGCGTAACCCACGGCACATGCAACGCGCGTAGCTGTTTATTTTACTCCTGCGCGATGTCTCTGTTGGTCTGCATTAACACTTTCGAAACGCTAGTTGGCAGTGAGGTGTTAATGTTCCTCTGTGTTGAGTTTCTTCGCTGTTGTTTTGTTTTTTCTAAACGCTTCCTGAACATACAAGTGACTCAAACTCACTCATTTTGAGGCTGGAACCGGCGGACGTGGAACAACTTTAACTATGAGATAAACACAAAACAAAACTTTCTATCCAGAGCTCCTTCACGGGACTCCACACTTGTAAACAATCGCTCTATTGGGCTCGCTCCACTCGCACGGCTCTTGGTCCCGCCCCCAGACTCATCAGCGCTGCCAAGCCGACCAATCACGACCATCAAAAAAATCACGAGCTTGCGCTCTGTGTCGTTGCGACTTGTAGTTACATTTTTTGAGAGGTGCACATCATCGACGCCGACGGCCAATAAACAATGCTTAAACATTAAAATGTGCTTTTAGAAACTTAAAATATTTATGTTTCTAATATTTAATTATATATTTGCTGTGTTTAATATAGGGGAAAGAATAGCATACAGTAAAAAAAAAAAAATGTAGTTCTTTATACCGAAATATGCCGGCTATAAGAGGAGGCGCTCTATTAAACAAGCAGAAACAGCACAGACTGTTTACTCTGCATGCATGTGAAAGAAATTAACAGAGAAAAATAAACAGATGATAAATAATAGGCGACTCACCTTACGTGCCGATATGCCCATTTATTTAATTCATAACTGCCACTAATAGCTATGCAAAAGGGAACCTATTTTGAGTGCATGAGAGTGTTTTGCATGTAGTGACAGATTTTCAAATATTTGTAACCTGGCCTATAATAAATAATAATAATTATTAATAAAGCAATTTATACTGCAATCAGGTGATGTGTTTCATTGACTCGATAACCTTAATATTTTGTAGTGTGTGCTGTGACGCGGTTTTCATTTCTTGCAATGTGCGCACGTTTAAGATTTGAGGTAATAACATCGCCATGATAGTCAAAGAAATGTGAACATTCTTTTTACCCCAACACAATTTAATAGGGCGCTATAAAGGCTAAACAACTTCATTCTTATATTTTTTAATTTTTGCAGCCTGGGGCTATACTTCTCACCATCTATTGTATCTTTTCTAAAGCATACAGTATAGTGTAAAAGCATATTTATTACTAAGAAAAAAGAAAAAGTTTTTTTTAATTGATCACATCACATAATCAACTGTAGGCTACATTACACATACAGTTAGGGCTGCTCTATTATGGGAAAAATCATAATCACGATTATTTTTGTCATAATTGCAAACATGATTATTCAAAACTATTTTTCAGCTGAAGTCAAAATTATTAGCGCTCCTGTGAATTTTTTATTTTTTTTTTTATAAATATTTCCAAAATGATGTTTAACAAATTCAGGATTTTTTTTACAGTATTTTCTATAATATTTTTTTTCTTCTGGAGGAAGTCTTTGTTTTATTTTGGCTAGAATAAAAGCAGGTTTAAATATTTTGAAACCTATTTTAAGGTCAATATTAATGACTTGCCCAATTATCCTAATTAAGCCTTTGAATCGTACTTTAATCTGAATGCTTGTATTTTGAAAAATATCTAGTAAAATATGTGCTGTCATCATAACAAAGATGAATGAAATCAGTTATAAAAAATTAGTTATTAAAACTATTATGTTTAGAAATGGGTTGAAAAAAAATCTTCTTTCCATTAAACAGAAAATTGGTGGAAAATCGTTGCTAATAATTCAGGAGGGCTAATAATTCGGATTTCAATTGTATATATGCAGTTATTTTCCTCCCTGTAAATGAGCAAAGGGAAATATGTACAATAGAATAAAAATATGAAACAAACTGTGCTTTAAGCATCTTATAAATGATCACTGAACACAGCATTTTGACACATATTTGACCATTAAAACGCTCACAGTAAGATAACTTTAGATGTGTGTGCTCTGCTCGTCTAGGCTAAGTGCACACACACAGCAGCATGTACAAATCAGATTATAAAAAATGATCAAGAGCATGCTTTTCCTTTTATCCTTTATTTTTAGTTTTTTTTGTTTTGTTTTTATTTACACATTTTTTTAAGTGGTGAGGACAATATTCACTGGTTCCTCCCTCCTGTATAATAATTAAATGTTACATTTTTAAGAACTTCACAAATAGCCTAAATAACACTTTTCAGTATCAGTGATAATATAAATAGTAACTAATAATAATAATAATAAGAAGAAGAAGAAGAAGAAGAACAAAAAATATTAGCCTATTGATAACAATATAAGTGAGATGTTGAGGAAAAAACAGCGTAGGCTACTAACTCTCCACCGTTTTTGGTTCATATTTTAAATTATTTGACAGAAAAGCTAACATGCTGACACATTGTCTGGATTAAGCAGACCTAGTTGGAGTTGCAATGTTTCCAGCAGCACTCAATACACGTTCAGACTTTCTATCGGAGTGCTTGTAGCGCAAATGCTCAAATGCTTTTTCCTATGCTACATTTCTCGTCAATGTCTTCCATTTATCACTTTCTCTTTTGTATCTGGCCATTTTTAAATAGGGTTCTGCGATATCTGGCTGACACAAAAATCAAAAAATAAATCTTAATTTTTATAATTTTATATATTTTTATTTTATTTTTTGTGCTCATAATATTGACCTTTGCAGTTTTTACCTTTTTATTATTCAACTAAACTAAAAACCGGAAGACTTTCTACAGTTGAAAAATATAATAGGGAATATTATGAAAACATTGCTTGCCTTTTTTTTAAATTAAGAAAAGTCTTTACATGGAAAGGTCATATCACTTTCAGTAGTCCACAATGATTCAAAGCAGCTACTGAAAGTTATACTCGCATATGTTGCTGTTAAATCATGTAGTTGTGTGATGTAAAACCATGGTGTAAGTGCACACCTAAGGATTAACCTTTTTTCCAAGAAAGAGTCTTTTAAACGATATTGATGAACAGTTGATATGATCTATTAAAAGTCAGTGATGCTAACAGTTAATCATCTTGTTTGCTTTCAGGCTCTAGCACCGGCAGAACAACCTACATGAGAAGACCATGGACAAAAGCAGACGTGAAGGCTGTAATGAGTTCAAAAGACTGATTATTATTAAACACATTTTCTTTTTTTTTTTTTTTCTTGTCACAGAGTGACAATATTTAACCATTTTCAAGCATGTAAATTTAAAAAAAAAACATGGCCCAGGCCCACTTCTGTACCATACCAGTGCTTCACAGTCCATCATCACTCCAGGGCAGTCTCTACATTGCTCTACAGATTGCCTCTGCTTTTCAACCCATGTCTGCCACTATTCCACAGTCTGGTACTGCTCCACAGTCCAGGTCCACGTCTGCTTCATGAGCCTGGGCAATACCCATCACACAAAAATACATTCTACAAATGCAGTCCCTCAGACTGAACATTTACAACAGTGTTGAGTAGCAAAAAGACATTTTTGGTTTTTTATTTACATGTTTGAAAATGGTCAAATATTGTCACTGTGACAAAAAAGTGAAAATGTGTATGATAATAATTAGTCACATTATAACACATTATATTACTGTCACATTAAGAAATTTAGCTTTTAATCTGTTTTGTGTTCATATCATTCTGTATGTATCATTCAATTTGTGGAATCAAACTTTTATGTCTAGTTTTATCTTTTTTTCTTTTTATCTATCTTTTTATCTGTTTTTATCCATCTCATTTTTGTTCTTGTCAGAGCGATAATAGTTTATGCATTTCATAATAAAATGCTTAATTGCCCTGTTTAATCATGTTTAATTGCCCTGCTGTTTTCCTGGACTTCAAAAATAAAAATAATTTTTTTTTTTTATTCCTGTCATAGAGTGGCATTGTTTTGTATTTGACAGTATTCTAGTGCACTACCATGTTGTGTTCTAGTATAAATATTTAAATTTGAAAAAGAATAATCTGTTGAACGACTTAATTAAATTTTAAAATACCATTAGTTTGTTTATAAGCTGTAATCATTCATTCATTCATTTTCTTTTCGGCTTACTCCCTTTATTTATCAGGGGTTTCCACAGTGAAATGAACCTCCAACTTATCCAGAATATGTTTTACGTTGCGGTTGTTCTTCCAGCTGCAACCCATCACTGGAAAACACCCATACACACTCATTCTCACACACACACACTACGGACAATTTAGTGTATTCAATCCCCTGTACCGCTTGTCTTTGGACTGTGGGGGAAACCGGAGCACCCGGAGGAAACCCACTCCAACACAGAGAACATGCAATCTCCACACAGAGTTCACAGAGGGGAACATTTGTGTTCTGGCCAAGTGAAAGAATAAAATAATGAATATGTTATCGTACAGTTGTGCTTCTGGTTGTTCATGGTTGAAGGTTCTTTGCCAATTATGTTCTTTTTTTATCTGAAGTTGCCTTTTAAAATATCTACTGTCCTATAAAATAAGAGCAAAGGCCCTTAAACAATTAACTCTTCATACTTTAATGGTAAAATGCTGTCTTTTTCAGGTTATTGTTCAACAGTACATTAAACAGATTGTTTAACTGATACAACACAATAAGCCTACAGAACTGTTAAATCAAAAGTGTATTATAAGCAAAATAGGATTTGTCATTTAAGAAGTGACAGGCAGAACCTTAGCAACTGAGATGGGTTTAGCAGGGGTCTAGCTGAGGAAAGCCAGAGTCTGTTCTGTTGTCACCCTTACTGCAATAGCAGAATAGTGTGATATGTAAAATGTGTTAATCAGTCCTCTTAAACCATGAAGGGGCTAGGTTTGTGTGTAACATGTAAACAGACCTTGTAAACCATGATTTTGTCTGGCCCCATAAGCCTGTGAAATGTCACATAGTTAATTTGAGTGTGTTGTGAAACTAAAATTGCTGTTTTTAAGCATTGTTTGCCTTTTGTAGCTCAAATAAAAATTTTTGGCACAAGTTTTATGTTCGTAGGATGTTGGCAAAGGTATGTCCCCGTAAACCACCAAAAAGTCACATTGACCTCATAAACCATGTATGCCTGTATGTGTGTGTGTGTGTGTGTGTGTGTGTGTGTGTGTGTGTGTGTGTGTGTGTGTGTGTGTGTGTGTGTGTGTGTGTGTGTGTGTGTGTGTGTGTGTGTGTGTGTGTGTGCGCGCGCGCGCGCATGCGTATGTGAGTGAGTGAGTGAGTGAGTGTGTGTGGATGTTTCCCAGAGATGGGTTGCGGCTGGAAGGCCATCAGCTGTGTAAAAGGGTGCTGGATAAGTTGGCGGTTCATTCCACTGTGGCGACCCCGGATTAATAAAGAGACTAAGCCAAGAAGAAAATGAATGAATTTAGCTTTTGAGATTTAAGACTTCTTAAGACCCCAGGCAAACACTGGCTAGGGACAGGTTTACTTTACTGTATATAGTTACTTTTAAAGGTGGCAATTCAAGAATTTATTCAATATAATTGCAGAAATTATACTAATTGCATTGTGCACGTGGTGCTTTTAAATGGAAGGCCAATTTTAAATGTATGCAAAGAATACAGTTGGGTTAAACCATTTACAAAAAATATTTTTCTTTTAACTTCCATGAAACCTTCAGTTTCACATCTCACTGAAGCTTTATTTTTGAGAGCATGTGGGGCTAATTTAAAAGTGCACAAAAGAATTAGACCGCTTTGTGTATGCTTGCTTTTTGCTCCTGTCACAAATACTTCAAACACATGAATGCCATTTTAAATCTAAATCAATAAAGTTGAATCTGCAATTTTTGCACATCAGCATTTGTCTGAATATGGACTGCATTTTAGTGTAATGATACTCATTTTTATGAGGTTTGGACCATGTTTAAGATGTTTTTCATAACTGTAAAACAGCAAGTCATGAAATGCTCACATTTTAGCTTCTTTGGAAAATCATACCACAGATCACACACAGATTCTTTTTAGATTTTCATGTGTACAAACAACTACATTTTTAAACTGTATAATTCTGTGTACATTTACAGTTCAATAATAGAATAATTCCAGAATTATTAGCCCACCTTTTAATTAGTTTTTCTTTTTTAAATATGTCCCAAATGATGTTTTTCACAGCGTTAAGCCTAATAATTCTGACTTCAACTGTACAGACTATACAATTGTATATTATTGTTTTAAGTTGCTGTCAAATAGATGTCCTCAGTTATCAATAAGGATGAAAAAGCTTTAAACATTTGGTTTTGACATGACTCAAATGAATACAAGGACTTTGTGTGTGTGTGTGTGTGTGTGTGTGTGTGTGTGTGTGTGTGTGTGTGTGTGTGTGTGTGTGTGTGTGTGTGTGTGTGTGTGTGTGTGTGTGTGTGTGTGTGTGTGTGTGTGTGTGTGTGTGTGAGTGAGTGTGTGAGTGTGTGTGTGAGTGTGTGAGTGTGTGTGTGTGTGTGTGTGTGTGTGTGTGTGTGTGTGACTTTGACCAGTTTGCTGATAAAGAAAATGGTTTTGAAGCATGAATAACACATTTAGAGAAAGTTGCTGCATTTTGCAGATGTGTAATAATGTTTTGATGTTTCTACAAACACCTGTTACGATTGAACTGATGTAACAGGGATGTGTGTTGATTCAGATGTTTCAATTTAATCTGATTCGGATTAAACAAGCTCTGATTAGCTCAACTTCTTTTTTACTTAAACTTTATTGTGTTTCTGGTAAACATGGTTATCATTCCTCAACATTGACTCGGTTCAATGTGTATAGCGTGGTTGATAACAATATGAAGCAAAATAAAAATATTTTATATATATATATATATTTATATATATATGCACACACAAACAAACATACATGTGAATATATACATACAGTTGAAGTCAGAATTATTATTCCCCCTGTTTAACTTTTTCCCCCAATTTCGCTTTAACAGAGAAAAGATTTTTTCAACACATTTCTAAACATAATAGTTTTAATAACTCATTTCTAATAACTGATTTATTTTATCTTTGCTATGATGACAGTAAATATAATATTTGACTAAATATTTTTCAAGACACTTCTATACAACTTAAAGGTTTAACTAGGTTAATTAGGAGGCAGGTCAGGGTAATTAGGCAAGTCAATGTATAATGATGGTTTGTTCTGTAGACTATCGAATAGAAATATAGCTTAAAGGGGCTAATAATTTTGTCCTTTAAAATTGTTTATAAAAAATTTAAAACTGCTTTTATTCTAGCCGAAATAAAACAAATAAGACTTTCTCCAAAAGAAAAAAAATATTATCAGACATACTGTGAAAATTTTCTTGCTCTATAAAACAACATTTGGGAAATATTTAAAAAAGGGGGAAAAAATAAAAAGGGGCGAATAATTCTAACTTCAACTGTGCATATCAATGAAGATCAAATTATCATGTATTTGGTTCCAGTTTGAAGAAGAATTGCTAAAATCTTTGCTAATTAAGGTAGTAGATTGCTCCGGTCGCACAATTTCTATAAAATAGTATAACCCTTGCTGAATTGACAAGAGATTAGGAGGGAAGAGGTACTGATGATTGTTTTCATTGTAGCTGTTAATCCTGAGAAAAAGGTTCATAATTGATTCAAAGTCAGGGTTATTGAAGAATCATCATTCAATAGGAAAAGGCAAAATTAAGGATCAATGGTAATTAGTTTATATTTGATTCAATTTCTGATTCAGTTCTCTCTTTCTTCTACACTCTCTCCTATATTTAACACAATTTGGATATAATACAAATCGTCACCTTGGAATTATAAGGTTCTATCTGTGTTAAGGATGATTTTGAAAAATTGACCTTCAAAGTTTTTGCATTCCATAGCAAACAGTGTGTGTGTGTGTAACATTTGTTTTTTAAATAAAAAGTCTTAAAATGTAAACAGCTTATAAAAAACATACCACAATGTAAATAATTTGTCATTTAATATATAATTCTAACCTGCCATTTTGTCTTAACAATTAAACTGTGCACAGCAGTTTACAAATGTTGAGAGGATGAAAAGAAATTAAAAGCCACAGACCCATATGTACTCTGTTATTTCAAGTGCAGATAGGTACATTAAAACTGAACCCTCTCTA